TGGCCTTGTTCCGCCAGAACGGCAAGACCTGGTCCGGCAACGTGCCCACGCGCTCCGCCAAGGCCTTCTCGCGGTCCTCGAAGTACTGCTTCGTCGCGGGCGTCGCCATGTCCCAGTGCGTGCAGGTCGCCTCGGTTCCGGCCTCGCGACACCGTCGGCAGCCGCCGGGCTGCCCGTGGCCGGCCATGGACCGCGCGCAGGGGCAGAAGTTGCAGAGATGGTAGCCCACCGTCGCGCAGCGGAACGGGCCGAACTCGTACTGGCCCACCTTGTCCAGCGTGAAGCAGCAGCAGATGGGCATGCTCGAGTCCTTCCGCCGCTCCTCTTCCGCGAGCAGCGTCTCGACCATGGGCCCCAGGTTCTTGCCGACCTCGTCGCGCTTGGTCTTGAGCTTGCCCGCCGCCAGGACCGTGCAGGCGTCGCCCTCCTCGTTGGGCTCGGCCTGGTACATGCCCTCGAAGTCGTCGTCGTGCTCCGCCGCGTCGTCGTCGTCGGACGCGTCGTCGTCGACGCCCTCGGAGCACGCCGTGGCGTAGGCCGTCGCGGCGCGGGCCTTCTCGTCGAGCTTGCGCTTCCTCTGCTTCGTGGGGTAGAGCACGACGGGCTGGACGTGCTCGTCCATCTGCGGCGACTCGCGGACGTTTTTGCTCAGGCGTGGATCGCAGTGGTGGATCGCCATGGCCATCAGACCGGTCCCGCCGACGCCAGTTTCGCACGGCAGCTCGTCGGCGGCGCAGCCGATCATCATGGGGATCGGCGCGTCCGGGTCTGAGCCAGGCCGTCGCCACGCGCCGGAGTTGGGGGACGCGTCGTACGCGGCCTGGTAGCCGTAGATGTCGAAGGTGCTGGGCATGATCTTGCCGTGGTCGGCGTGCCACATCTCGCCCTCGCCCGCGCACATGAGGCCCTTCTGGGCGACGTAGGCGTCGAGGTCCGCGTTGACGCGCTGCACGCTCGACGCCGACGGGATCACCGTCTGGCCCGTGACCCGCTTCTCCTTCGTGCCGTGCTCGCCGAGCTCCTTGCGCATCGCCGTGAAGGCCGAGTAGTTGAGCTTGCTGTCGTCGACGAGCTTGGCGCCCTTGCGCGCGTTGAGAGCTCGCCGCTTCAGCACGTCGGTCTCGATCTTCTTCCACAGCCTGCCCGCGTAGAGGCGGCGGGCGAGCGAAAAGAGCTTCTCCATCCGCTGCTTCTTGCCGCGGCCCAGGGACTTCTTCGCCGCCTCGGACACGTCCTTGGAGTCGACGGCGTCGTCCATGAACGCGACGAGCGTCTTGATCTCGTGGGCCGTCGCGTCCTTGGGCGACAAGCCGCTCTGCTTCATGCGGCGCCGCGCGTTCTCCTCGCGCTTGGACCGCTTCACGTGCTTCTTGTAGAGGAGCTTGCCCGACCGCAGCATCTGCTTGGCCGTCGCCCGCAGTACCTCGATGTTGGACTCGTCGTCGAGCTCGGCATGCAGCATCGTGAACACGCGCATGCCCGCCTGACCCAGGGCCTTGGGCGACGTCGTAGGAGTCGCCAGCGGGGCCGTATGAGTCGCCGTTGGAGTCGCCGTCGCGGGCCGCGCCGCGGCCGCCAGGGGCTGCGCCGTAGGACACGGAGGAGATGCCGTAGGAGCCGTAGTCGTAGGCGCAGTAGGAGCCGGAGGAGTTGCCGTGGCAGCTGGCGTAGTAGTCGCCGTTGGACCCCTAGGAGCCGCAGGAGTCGTCGACGTCGCCGCGGGACGCGTCCCGGCCGCCAAGGGATGCGCCGTAGGAGCCGTAGGAGCCGCGGCCCTGGGCGTCGTCGGCGGCAGCGCGCCGGACATCATGAGCTGCGTCGGCCACGCGCAGACGGCCATCGGGACGCCCATCTGGCCCGGCGGCGTGACCGTGTACTGCGCGGGGATCACCGGCGACATGATCGACTGCGTCGGCCCCGCCGCGAAGGTCTGAGCGGGCGGCGTCGGCGCGACCGCCTGCCCGCCCGCCGCGTGGAGCACGTGCAAGGGCGTCGGCGCGACGGAGTTCCAGGAGGCGAGCGGTGGCCGGGAGCGCGCATCGACCGCAGCAGGTCCAGGAGGAGCAGCGAACCGCGCGAGCATCTCATCCTTTGGGGCGTTGGCCGAAGGCAGTCCCCGGAGTTTGAGCGCCTTGCGGAGTTGAGGCCGACTCCAGGACGTGTTAGGAGCGTCATCCACGACCGCCAGCGGCGCCTGCCACATCTCAACGACTCACAGTGTCGCGGGGCTGCTTTGGAACCAAATCCAAACGGGCAGCCAGCGAACGCTTGCAGCGGCATGTTGTGCTGCACCTTGAAGTGCGCAGCATGGAGCTCGTTGCTCGCCCCACCGAGCGCTGGTCGCATGCACCGGCGTCGCTCTGGCAGCGGCATGGCGCCAGAGACGACGGCCCAGACCGAGAGCACGTCCGACGCTGACCTTTGGACCAGGATTGATGAAGTTTAGACCAATCGGTGTTGATTTTAGCCTTACTAAGCGCTACCGCCGGGCCTCGGCTTCACGCTCGTTGGGTCGAAGTGAACAAAATAAATAGGGCAACAAAAGGGGTATGGTATAGGGGGGGGCAAAACTATAGTAGCCCTATGGTTGTTTTCGGCCTTGGAAATACAGTACCCAGTGAAACACACTCAATACAAATAGCTAGGAAAGCGCACTTGCGGCCAGTTAACATAAACGAAGAATCTGTGTTAGCTGTGATTCGACTATGTTGAGACTGCTTCCGCAGTGCGAAACAATTCCTCCGTAGTAGGCCTCGTAGTTACGTCACGAACTCGGCCGGGCAGAGCGCCGCGCACCGCTCGGGCGGTCCAGAGCCGCGGCGAAGAGGCGGCGCGCCTCGGCGTAGACGTCGTCGTCGACGTTGCGCGCCGCGCGCGGCACCGTGCGGTTGTGCGGCTGGGACCGGAGGTGCTCGAACTCCACGGCGAGGCAGGGCGCGCCGAACTGGAGATGGAAGAGGCAGATGGACTCGGCCCAGCGCTCGACGACGCCGACGAACGCGAGGTCCCGGAGCCGCGCGATCGCGGCGTCGCGCGTCTTCTCGTCGCCGCGCCCGGCCTTCGAGCACGTGCCCCGCCCCGCGAGCGTGCGCGCCATGCACCCGGCCGTGGCCTCGGCGAACTGGCGCGCGTTGTCCGCCGGCGGGCCCTTGGGGTTGCGGTCGCCGTGGATGTTCACGTGGTTCCACGCGGCCTCAGCGCGCGCTTGCGGCTCGCGCAGAAGCGCGACGACGCGGTCCGCGCCGCCGACCTCGGCGAGCAGCCACGCCGAGAGGTCGTCGTGGCGGCCCCAGCCGGCGCGCACGGGCACCGCGAGGCGCGGGCAGCTGCGGCCCTTGATGAAATCCGGCGTCTTGCCCAGGAAATTGGCCTCGGACGCGTTCGCGGGCACGCCGTCGCAGAGCGCGTGGACGACGGTGTTCGCGAAGGTCGAGCCGCACTTAGGAATGTGGAGCCAGTAGAGCATCGTCGGCGCCGCCTTGGCGCCCCCCTTGTCGCAGTCCAAAGCGAGGCGCGCCTGGTCCAAGAGGCCGATGTGGCCGGGGGCGAACGGAGGTGGAGGCGCAGATCTCGGCTTTGCACATCTGCGCGAGGTGGCCCTGGACGTTCCAGACGCAGGGGTCGACCTGGACGGGCGTCCAGCGCGGGTAGTTGAAGTTCTGGTAGAAGAACCAGTAGATGAAGCCCTACGACGCCGGGGGGTTCCTCGACGGTGGGCGGCGCGCGCGGACGCGGCGCGCGCGCCTGCATACGCGCGTCGAATTTGAGGTGGAAGGGGCTCCAGCCCGCGCCGTTCCAGCCCGTCTCTTGGGATACCTGCCGGAGGCGTCCGTCGCGCGGGGTTCTCTCGGACCGGAGGCGGGCGGGAGGGGACCGGGCGCCGGGCGCCGCGCGGTCGCCGTGGAGAGCGCCGCGAGGAGCGCGTCCCGGAGGGCAGCGCTCGGCTGGACGACGGTGAAGGCGCCGTTCATCGCGCTGTGGGCGCTCCGCGTCGTGATCACGTGGCCCGCCGCCGCGCAGTCGAAGATGGGCCGGAGGCTTTCGACGTCGTCGACGTCGAAGTCGTTGTCGACGACGGCGACGGCGTCGTAGTCGGCGAAGCCGAAGGCGTGGAGCTTCATGAACTCGCGGGCGCCGCAGCACCCGCCGCTCTCCAGGGGGACGCCGGGGCTGAGATTTGGCGGCGCGACCCAGTCCGCGTGGCGCACGATCACGCCGCCCTCCGCGAGGCGCCGCGCGACGCCGGCTTCGATGGGCTCGCGCTGGAGGTCGCGGCGCGGCACGACGAGGATGACGTCGACGCCCGCGCGCCGCCCGAGGGCGGCGATCTTGAGGCGGTGCCCCACGGTGGTCCCGTTGTCGCAGCGCGTCCGGTCGGTAGCGCCGCACGTCGACTCGATCGCGACGTGCGCGTCGAAGACCGACGCGATCGCGACCTTGTTCGCCGCGCCCCGCGCGCACGTCGAGACGTCCAGGCACGCCACCTCCCGCCCCTGGGACGTGCACCGCCGCGCGTCCTCCCACCTTTTCCTTCCACCACGGCTCCCGGAGCGTCCCGCAGGCAAAGGGAGCCAGAAACAGGAGCCGAAGCGCGAGGCCCATCGCGGTCGTCGCAAATGACGAGCCGACGTGCGGCACCAAAACGACCCGGCTGCGCTTTAGCACGCCTCCATCACCCGCCGATCGGGTCTTGACGTCATCCTTCGATTTTACATGTGCATTAATATTGAAGTTTATTAGCGCAGGCGGCTTAAGCGATGTTCGCACGTTTTTTTACTCTGAGTTTAATATGTTGCGAGTCTCGAGGGGAGATTATGAGGGTACTTCGCAGTAGGGATTCGGGGCCGGACGTCCCGAAACTTCAGTCCATGCCGTGGCAGTGGGGGAGTACGCAGAAACTGAGATCCGCCATCCCCGTCCCCTGCCGTACGGCGAAGTGCTCTCGGTTTCTTCCACAGTGGCCCGGAACATGCCGAACGCAGCGTCAGATATCGTTCGACCATCGTTCTAGCCAAGTTTTGTAAGGATTAGTTCGTTAAGTGCGGCGCGCCGACGTTCTGGGCCTTCGACGAGGGCCCCAAGTCCCGGCACGCGATCGACGCGTTGCCGCTGCGCGGCGCCGACGAACCGGGCATCGCGCACGTGTATCTGCGCCCCATCGAGCTCAGGATCGAGGCGGGGCAGAAGGCGTCCAAGATCCACGGCGACCTCATCGTCGAGGCGGGCCAGGACGCGGCCCGGAAGGCGGCCCTGCCTGACCTCGCTTCGACAACCCGAAGTATAAGGCCGGAAGTTAGATTTTTTTAATCGTTTGCTCCCGGCAAACCAATTGTCCGAGTCCAATCGGTTGGGACCACCTCTCGGCGGCGCTGAGACGACCGGCGCCGGCTTCGGCCCAACGCCGCCGGCACGGCGGGCCTCACGAGGCGTCATCCCACTCTCGGCTGGTCCCAGGAGGCCCTTCGGGCAAGCGATGTCGTCTGGGGTCAGCAGATGCGCCCCTACGAGCCTCCGGGCTGACACGGGCGTGGTGCGCGGGCGACCAACGCGCGTAAAAATTTGTCTTTCGTGCCCGGGCGGCGAGCAAATCCGCTCGATTTGCTGGCTGGAGAGAGAGAGTTTTGGTAAATCTTTCACGATTTGCTACGAAATCGTCATTTAACTCCTCAAACAAATTAATTGCTTCAAGATATTTTTATTTAACTTCCGGCCGTAGTGCCAGCTCCTGTAGTTTTTTTTTATGGGGTGGCATCCGCTCTTAATCGCCCTCGCAGCGTGCGCGCATGCGAAGTGGCACGTCATCCACGGCAGCCACACCAGCCACAACGAGCGCCGCGGGCCCGGAAACAACCGGTACCTCACCTACAACGAGACCGAGGGCCTTAACAACCAGCGCATCGCGCTGGAGAACGCGCGCCTCATGGCCATCCTGCTGAACCGGACCCTCGTCGTCCCGGACACGATCCCACCCCACGACGCCGGCGACCCCTTCCCGACGAAGACCTGCCGCGTCTTCACCTGCGACTCGCTGCGCGTGCCGTGGGTGTCGCAGCGCTACTTCGAGGACCACCGGAAGCGGTGGCCCACGCGGATCCGCGACGACGCGGCGCGATGCGGCGACGTGGCCACCTGCGAAGACTTCCTGCTCGATCCGCCGAAAAACGTGGTCGTCGAGGTCCCCGTTGACAAGACCCATGTACCACATGAGCCTGAGTTCTCCGAAGCGGTGGGTCCTCTGGGGATCCTCAG